AAAACGAAATAAATAGAAAAACGATTGAAATAATTATATTTTCCAAAAATATATTCCACAAAGACTCCCCAATAACTAATGGGGGAAATTTTACTATTTAGATATATACTCCTGCACTTTTGGATAACTTGGTACTCATGTACAGTAGCATCTCCCGATCAATTTTGCAATGTCAGTCGTTATTTTCGCAATCCCCATCACAGAAACATAGTGGTGTACATGCTAAATCCGCACGGAAATATTTGCAGCGAGCAGCACAACTTCTCTTGCAGCCACAATGAATCAGCTCTGTGCAAATTTTTGCTGCTTCGGGGATAGTCATCCATCTTGGTAAATATTTGTCTCTTACTTTTTCCCATCCCCATCTCTGTGCATCAGGTAAATTTGTGAAACCTCTGTTGCTTTGCTCCAAATAAACACACCTTGGAAGATTGTCATAGCAATAGGAGGGCTTGAACAGCGTGGGAAAATCTTCCAGACCTGACCAAGACGCTGTTAAGCCTACTGAAGCTAGAGGGGACAAACGGAGTGCCTGCACAATGCATTCAAATGATTGAAAGATTCATCGTTCTGCTCTACGATCGGACAAGTATGTTGTCAAAGGTATGTACAATGTATGAGGACAAGCTAGAGGGGACAAGCGAAGTGTCTGCACAATGCATTCAAACGATTGAAAGATTCATCGTTCTGCTCTACGATTGGACAAGTATGTTGTCAAAGGTGTGTACAATGTATGAGGACAAGCTAGAGGGGACAAGCGAAGTGTCTGCACAATGCATTCAAATGATTGAAAGATTCATCGTTCTGCTCTACGATCGGACAAGTATGTTGTCAAAAGTATGTACAGTTGAACTTAGCAATTACCCAGATGTTGGATAGATGTTGAAATACGGTTGAATCCTAATTGATGACTAGAATCGGCAACATTTCGACGTCTATCTATCGACATGTGCCAGCTAGGTAAGCCAAAAAATAATTCAGACTCTTTGGATATGGAACAAACTTCAGAAGCAGAAGCTTTCCTCCCAAATAATTATTTTATTTCCCTTCGGGTTGATGAGCTACGACATCGTCTGTTTACAAAAAAAGGGAACATGACAGAGAATATCCCCCCTACATCAAATTCTCTGCTACAACACATACGTAGAGCAATCTTCCAAGGTGTGTTTATTTGGAGCAAAGCAACAGAGGTTTCACAAAATTTACCTGATGCACAGCAATGGGGATGGGAAGAGTATGAGACAAATTTTTACCAAGATGGATGACTATCCCCGAAGCAGCAAAAATTTGCACAGAGCTGATTCATTGTGGCTGCAAGAAAGGTTGTGCTGCTCGCTGCAAAAGTTTCCGTGCTGATTTAGCATGTACACCACTATGTTTCTGTGATGGGGATTGCGGAAATAGCGACTGACATTGCAAAATAATTGGGGGATGCTACTGTACATGTATGCCAAGTTTCATGCTTGCATCCAAAAGTGCAGGAGTATATATCTAAATAGTAAAATTGCCCCCACTAGTTATTGGGGAGTATTTGTGGAATATATATTTGAAAAACATAACTATTTCAATCGTTTTTTTATTTATTTCGTTTTGTAGCACTTACATAAGGTGACGTTAGATATAGATTAGAATAATCAACGAGTCCAGCCGAGTTTGAGCTGAAATGTAATGCAGGTTTTCCGTTTTTATCTGACTGAGATACTAATGCCAGAGTTAAGAGAATGAATTTATCTTTATTAAAATATATGATGACGATATGATAGCTCCAAGATAACAATAATCCGTCAGCTATGAGATATATATTTTATATTTTCACCAGCTTTACGCGGCTATGAGTTTAAAAGTATACAATTGGCGATGTCAGTTGATTGAGCACAAAAGGAATTACATTTTGAAAGTAAATGTAGCTTAATTAATTTGTGACTCATGACAATAACAGAAAATACAGGTTGTGCGACAAATAATCGCGTTTGGTCGATAATTATACCTCGTTTACATGGTAACCAGGTATTCTGTTATCAAGGGAAATTGTCAAAATGCACTTCTGATCATATTCTTCACTTCTTATATACACATCAGTTCACTTGTCTTGAAAATATCCTTTTATAAAGTAATTTTCAGTTCACTTAAATAGCAATACGGATGATGCCTCGTTTCCATGGCAACGAGGTATTTTCTCGGATGGCACCATATCCAAAATTGATCAGGGGATGCTACTGTACATGTGTGGCAAGTTTCATGCTTGCTTCCAAAGGCTAGCTGAAGCAATTAGCGAAGTGGATTTATGTTCTTGACTGCTTGGGTTGTCTAAATTGTTATCTGGCTTTCCAACTTTTTGGGCAGGAATATATGCTAACAAAATAGGCCTCATAGAAAACTAAAAATTGAATAAGGAATCTATTAGCCTAGGTTGGCTATGCATGTTAACTGAATATAATTCCTGTCGGATCCTTTTTGCAACCAGCCTAAACAGTATTACAAAAATTTAGTAATTATCGTCCTGTATCCCAAATTTGGTAAAATTCGGTAATCAATCAATCTGCAGTTATTTGTAAGTTATTTTGTAAACATGAGTTCGAACAGGAACTGACCAATTCAAACAGAAGTTTTTATCGGATATGGGATAACGTACCATAATGCTTGCTTAATATGTGTGCAAGTTGTGTCGGTGACAATCTAAAACGGCATTTTCTCCCTTATGAAAGGTTTGAAATCTTACACGAGGGGTCGGGAACCCATGGCTCGCGAGCCATATATGGCTCTTTTGGTGACGGCATATGGCTCCCAAAAAAATCTAATATCCCAAGACTAAGCTTACTATTGTTACGAGATTTCAAACTATTTTATAGCCAAATTTGGCAGAAAATTCCCAATACGTTTGAGAACGCGCGTCCAGCACATGTCTGTGTTATGTAAGATAATTACCAGACATGCATTGCACAAACAAGGTGATTTTGGAACATATATTGTGACATCACAAAGCGATAGAGTTTTAAAAACACTACGGAGATGCCTAAACGAGAAAAGGTGATGAGTATCGTCGATTTCAACTTGGGCTGCATGTGAGCAACCGTTCAAGGCCCGCAGCGACTACATGCAGCATCAGATAATCACATTAAATGTATATTGACATTGTATGTGTTGACTTTTGAGTAAACATTTCAGGCCTGATTAAGTGAAGAAATGTTATATGGCTCGCACGGAAATGCAATTGAAAATATGTATATTTTATGGCTCTCTTGACCAAAAAGGTTCCCGACCCCTTTACACTAAGTGTAGATATAGTAATATTTTTGCACGTTTTAGTGAGTTTTTTGGTGGTTTTTGCACGTTTTAGCTTGATTAATGACAAATAATGATCAATGGTTTGGACAATGGACCTTTCCCCGAGTATCGTTTTCCTTGTTTACTTCGTGACATTGGCTAATCAGCAAGATGCAAAAAGTGACGTAACAATGCCCTCTTTTCGCATCCGCTCATACACTTTTCTCACTCAGACAGATTTTCAAGCGTGGTTGTAAACATTACCTCGTTTTCGCGTTTTTGAACTCTATTTGTTAGTTTTCAGTTGTGTTTCGGAAACTTAAATATAAATCAGATAATTCAATGATCACTCGGTCTTCCTAGGAGTTTTAATTTGATTGCAGTAATAAAAATCAGTGTAGAAATAGCTGTGATAGACTAGCATGAAATTCTATACCGGTACTTTTAAAAAATAGATTGTTGTATGCGATTAATTATAATGATGGTTTGTAACACATACCCCATTTTACAGGCGCCAACTCGCAAAAGCACTCTTAAAATAGCCCCGAAAATGTTGCAATGGTAAAGTATAGGAAGAATTATCCGGGGGTCAAAGGTCGGGGAAAGGTCCATAGAAGGGTTTGTTTTGTATTGCACTGTTTACCCATTCTATGCACTATTGTGGCCCGCGAAGCCGACAACCTTGCACCACCCTGCATTATATATATTAAATCGAATAGCGAATAATATTAAAAACGTGATGTCCTTGTAAACAGAAACTCTTGTTATTTTAATATGGGTAATTATGTACGTCGCACGGATGGAAACTCACATGTATATATATATATATAATTATTTTATTCAGTGCTTATGTATCTTGTGAAAATAAATTTTAATTTGATGATGACCGGACGAAACATGTTCCTAAAGCTAAAGGTCTGTAATTTGATTCCTACGAAAGTATTGTTTAGAATTTTGGAAAAAATTAACTTTGTTTTCGTACGTTTACCTGAAATTGGGTTATCTATATTCTATGCTATAGGTCTTTTTCAGATGTAGTACTTTCAAACAACTGGTAACAACCAGCTGCGCGGTCGCAATCCCAGTGTGTAACTAATCCCCTGTGAATCTCTATCGACTTTCGTACAAAATTTTAATACATTAAAACTGCTGCAGATGGAGCTAAAGATAATCAACATTAAAATGTGACCTCTTTCCCGTTCTTAGACACCGCGTTACATTCACATGAGCCCATATTCGGCGCAGCTTTACTTATCGGTCCCAACGATATTTATAATCTCGATGTTCAAACTTAATCAAGTTAATAACATTTTCTGGAGTCCGAATTTTTGTACACTGTCAGGGCATCGGTGATCTGCTTACGTTTTATCGGACATCGACGAAGTGGTAAGTGCGACATAAGACGAAATGTATTGAAAGTAATACGTAATTACAAATGCCCAAAATTTAGATCCAAAAGCTTCGGCGAAAATCGAAGCATATTTAATAAACAGAATTAAGTTAATAATTCAATAAATCCGAACGAACGTAGTTTACTATGACCACCATGGCTTAGATATTCCTTAAAAAAGTCTGGTGTTTACGGGTTTATCAAATAATTGGAAAAAATTTACGCTGCATCAGAACCTTAATCTCAATGCTCAACATTATTTAATAAGATATTTACGAAGTGAGAGATCCCAAATCCTGCAAATTTGAAAAGTGTTGTTCGGTTTTAGCACTAAAAATATGCATTCTGCTTTTCAACAACCAATTATTTATTACATACATTGCAAATTATGATAAACCAGACAGCATTGCTAAAACAAGAACAAGACTAACAACAACAACTAAAACAAAGCTTTCGCAAAACGACCCATATGGCCACACCATGTGCAACAATATTGTATAACACATTCTACAAAGTGTATTCACAACTAACGAAAAGTGCCAGTCATTAAACGTGTTGCCATTCACAAAATTATTGTGATCTCTTTTACACACTGTGTCAAATTGGAGAATTAATTAAATAAAAAATAGGAACATAAGGAAAGGTACTTTGCTGATTGATAATTTATACACAGTCGGACATCATGCTAAACCATGTCATGTGAAACTGAATCTGGAAATATAACATTGCACAAGAGATATCGAACACTGAATAAATGTCATAAAAGAATTTACAAGTTTCATTAATGAGGATATGAGTAAAATGAAGGTAAGCTGAAAATTATTTTTCTGGATTTCATGCATAAATAGAATTTTTATAGTCAACTTAAGATCAATGATAAGTTATACAATAAAGTATTAGGCATAGTTCAAATTCAAACACATAAAACAAAGATCTAATACTTAGAACTTAGATATCAAACAAATCTTAGAAGTGAGATAAAATTCACAGATATGCAACACGAGCATTTCTATAAGAACTTTTTCTACTAATCTACAAGTAGCAGAAGAAATAAATATATAAAAAAAATTTCAAGTTAAGATCAGTTGGAACAAAATTATACTTGATTATATTGAAAGATCCTACATTATGCAGTTATGTAAATTGAATCAAATTGAAAGTTTAATGCTGTACCATTATTTTTGCAACACATTAAGTTATTTATATACAAACTCAGGCTTTTACATATTCTCCTCTGGTAGAAATTCTTTCACGAACTAGTTGCTCTAGTCCAAATAAATGACTATCCTTATCTTCTGGAATGTAAGTTTTCACAAATTCAGCTAAATTCAATAGATATTCTACATTTGGCCCACTCGGACCAACCGCGTTCACTATAACATCTGATATTTCATGCAAAGTTTCTGGACCAATAAAATTTGGGTTATCGGGTGTTCCTATATAAATAAGCAATTCAAAAGAAGGTATGGTTTTGTCTCTTGGAAAGAATGTTGTTTTCATCGTCTTATATCCACCTTTTTCTCTGTGGTCCAAATGCCTCAGAACTTCGTCTGATTTATCACATGGCAGCTTGTATGCTGCTCCCCACACAACACCCCCTACTTTTTCAACCAATGTTGCTACTCTGCCTGGCTGAAAATAATAATAAATAATTAGTTTAATGGTCAAACAAAAATGTTCAATTAAATATCAAACTTAATGGTGATATAACAGAATTTTTAACTGCCATGAATTTAAATATGGAAAGTGGAATTAGTCTTCTAAGCAATCAGGCATGAGTTGGCTTCTTATTTATTGTAAGTAGTTAGCATGGCCAGACTATAGTACAACCAATAACAGCAATGCTTTTGTTTACTTTTGAATTGGATTTATCAAAATAAAATGGCCATACCAACTTGTTGACAACTTCGCTAACATTTGAATCAGTGTTTAAAATTAATATACTTCATTCTTTGCCAAATTCAGTAACTTGATAAATCAAGCCAAATAAAATAAACCAAAAGGTCTGTAATGTAAATGAATGTATGTAAGCCACTAAGCCTATATGTATTGTTCTGAGATTAACAAGTAACTACTGGAGTATTCATTTTTTAAATTTATAGACAATTGCTGTACTAATTACAAATTAACTGCTGCTTCAGGATAGCATTTTTCGTGTTCGGAATCATCCGAATCAATTTTTTGGTGGAAACTATTGCAATGACGTTGTATTGCCCATGCATATATAATTTTTGTTCCGGATACTTTGTGAATATAATTCTCCCAAGAATGAAGAAAGATGATGATAGTCTACCTCTCACCCAGTTCAGGCTGGCCATAGCTAATACATAAATCATTTAATGCTCCAGACAAGATGCATGGAGGAAGAGATATTCAATTTAGCTAAAACTGAATAGAAACAGTCATTCAGTCATTAGAATACCAAAACAAAAACTTGTGATAGTTACTCTATTGCAAATTTGATCTTGCAAATAGATACTGAGATCTAACTAACTTAGCCCATAACAATTGCCTGATGAAGAAATTAAAGTATCCTTAACTTATCAACAACATGCGCTGTGAATGTGCTATTATTACTGTAATAATTTATTTTAGAGGAACCTGTATTTAACTTTACATGCCGAGGGAAAGTGTGGTACTTACATTATCCGGAACGCCTCGATGATCTTCACTGCTCTGCCAGAATTTTCGTTCAAATCCTTCAATGTATCCTATCACTTTTTGTACGAAAGGAAAGTCAGCTTTCCACAATAGAGAACCATAACCAAATATCCAAATGTGTGATGACGATCCGTTGCACATAGCCGAAGGTAGCGTTCTGCATAGCAGCTTCTAGCCTATACCACAAAACTCTTTTCAGCTTATGTAATACCACAGCAGAAAGGCAAAACGCTTTGTCGAGGTTCTTCGAAATCGATCTTTAAAAATAGGAACACCATTTCAATTATTGCGTCACAACACGTTCATCAATAAACCTGTTGTCGGAAACCGCAAACAGTGAGTCAGGCAATGACTTGCAAATTTCCCCCGAGATCTCGAAATTACGGAGGAGATAGAGAGATTTATTTCGTCAACTAGAATACAAGCATGAATCAATGAAAATTATATACAAAATACACAGTTATTTAGTATAGACCGTGGTATAGACATTGGGGGGCTATACGACCATACGGTCATCAGAGTCAGAGTCCCCCCCCCATGTTCGCTATCAAGATTGACAGGTGTTTAAAAAATTAAAAAATAAACGGTACTCCTTGGACGGACAGTTGACTAAGTTACGGAATATTTGGGATTCGCTAAAAAAATTGGTTAAAACGTTCGTGGTCGGGGTTTGAGTTCCAGCAAGTCCATGATTAAACCATAGTTAAGTTACTGTTTTTTTAAGATTTTCACCTTAGTGGAGTGGACTATCTAGCACAGCCTTTCCCAAACTGTGTTCCGCGGAACACTAGTGTTCCGCGAGCGTCTCCGAAATGTTCCTTGGAAAAGGAATCCTAAATACGTCTAAAATGGTCGCCATGGCGATCTAAGAATCGCGGGGTTGTCGCCCAACTGACCGTTCTATATCGCGTCCTCGTCGGCCTAAAGTGAACTAACTAGGGTGGAGTAGTGGCATTTTCGTTAACCGTCGGCCTAGATTGTTGACTGTTAAGTTCATTATCAAGTTATTACAATGCTTTTGATTTTGTTATAGGCAAACAAGTAGGTTTAAAAAATAAAGGCAAAAGGTCAACTGTTCTTCCTCCATCTCTGCCTGGTTTTACTTTGAAATGCTGAAAAAATTAATCATTTTCGGTAAACTCTATTCAGAAGATAAATAAACGGCAGGTCCGCGAAATTGCGGGAAGTACTTTTATTTCCATTAGACGTAACATTAGAGGCAAACACTACGTAATGGAAAGTAAACGCCATAGAATGATAAAATGAATGAATTTATTCATATACACAGCATAAGAAACAATAAAACAGTTATAATAAATGCAATATGTAAAATATTCAATCATATTTTAAGTATGTTTAACACAATTCTGTTAGTTTTCGCGGCGCATTCAGCAATTGGGAACCGCTACATTACACCGGTTTTCTCTATCAATTTACTGTTTCATTTTTTGGTGTTCCGCGAGGCGAGATCAAAAGTGTAAGTGTTCCGTGGCCGAAAAAGTTCGGGAAACGCTGATCTAGCAAGTACAGCAGTAAATTAACAGCTAATAACAAATCAATGGACGTGGGCTCGAGGATTCATGTGATGATTGAAGTGAGAAAAAGTGGTTCAATTTGAGGAAACAGGGAAAACCTTGCATTCATCATGAAAATTTTGAAGCCACGGGACAGAGAGGGAGAGAATTTACTGCTATTTTCAAACCAGAAAATAAGCATACACATACATACAATATACGGATTTAAAGTTTTCGGTTTTATTTTTGGACACGGAGTGGACCTATGGATCGTTTTGTTGTTGAAGGGTTGTTTATTTCAAATATTTCTGTAGGCTTTATGGCTTTCGTTTTTTTTTTCTGTAAGCTATGGCGTCATCAAAATTTGAGCACCGTGTGGCGGTTGCGCGAACAGCGGATGTCGTGCTCAGCGATCGTCAGCGGATTTTGTACTTGTAGGGACAATCATATCGAGTTGATTAAATTTCGGTAATACGGGCAAAACTATTATTATTAGTTGTAAATTGGGTTTAACTCAGATTCTTTGAACTAAGAAAAAACGAATTGGTTAAACAATTCTTAGATGTGTGCGTCATTCGAGTCGCAGGCAATAGCCTGGGGACAACACATATTGTTTTGATCGGACAATCAATATTAGATCTCCTGCCGTGCTTGATACCGTGTTTCCCCGAAAATAAGACCTACCCTGAAAATAGGACCTAGCCTGAATTTTAAAAATGATTTTAATATAAGCCCTCCCCTCAAAATAAGACCTAGTCAATAACGCGGAATTTTTTTGACCTAGTCGATAGCAAGAAATCTCTCCTACACGTTTTGAATGATTGGTAATCTATGTTTTCCTGCTATTTTGAATAAAAACGTGTTATTTATAAGTGAATTGATATCGGTTTTTATATTTTGTAGATTTGAAAATCTCGTAATTCTCTTCTTTGTAATTTTGATATATGAAAATATAAGACATCCCCCGAAAATAAGCTCTAGTGTTATTTTTCGGAAGAAAATAAGAACCAGTCTTGTTTTCGGGGAAACACGGGGAACATAGGGACCCAGTTTATTATGTATAAGCACGTTATAGTTTGTATTGAAAAGAAATGGGTTTAGGCAAGACAGAAAGTAACCGTATATATTCGTAATGTACGAACAAGTTGGTAATAATATATCAATTGTGTTTAAGAAATCGCAGAAAAAGGGTGCGGTAGAAATCGAGCTGAGGACTGGACCGCTTCCACTACCTCTGCATTACACAACACGAAAACATCCAATTCTCCTGCATACATGCGTTTAGCTAGTTTGAATGGCAGAAAAAAATCGGATAAAAATAGCGATTTCACTATCAACTCATTGTTGCTGAATCGATAAGCGAGTTTATGATTCTGTTTTTTCAGAAAGACTACAATTTCACTCGATAGGCCAGCGCTAGCCACATATTGGGGAAATAGCACTCTGATCAATCTCCTCCTCTTCCACGAAGGCGTTGCAAGAAATGAAGATATCCACTTTTAATCCGGTACATCCATGATTCTGTTTCGTCTCTGAATTCGACAATGTCTTCCAATACACGTAATTTCTTCTCTCTCCTGATACAACGGTTCATCTGATTTAAATGACAGAAGAAAAAAAACGGGTAAAAATAGCAATTTCACAATCAACCATTAAGTTACTCTCATGAAACAGGGCGGTCAATTTGATTTGTTTCATATCATTTTTCCCTGAAAAAATTCATGGTTTCCATCTGCGCATTTACCATGCTTCGTTTTGAGATGACCAGGCAGCTTAGCTTTCTTCAATAAGCATACAAAAAAAAATGTATGACAATGCTTGAGGTCCTTGGCAAAATTTAACATCCAAAAGTAGTTTAACACAAAAAGAGCAATGAATGAGTAAAAATAAAGCCTGTCTAGGCAAAAAAACTAAAACAGCGAACGGTAAAAGTTTCTCACGCCACGATGATTATTCAATTAGCGTCACCTGTCCTGTAATCTACGTCCTACGATAGCAATTGTAATTGCAAAAATAGGTGTTATTTAAATGACTTCATGAAAAGTAAAACCATATCTCAATATTAATATCATCTTTTTCTTCGTGTGTTCAACCACATTAAGTATGAAACAAGAAGAAATCTATGATTCAAAATCAATAGAACTGTTCAATTAACCCGTAGTGGACCCATAGAACACACGGGAGATCTCTTATTCATTCTTAAAAAATAGTCCGTGCAAACACCTGCTCCGCATTCCAAGACAACGATACCTGACGCAGTTTATCAAATCAAGTTTTTATTTATTTTTGCCATTTTCTGGTTTATGACATTTACCAATTGGTCACAATTGTCCTATCATAGCCTATGGATACTCAAATATTTTAACTAAAGACCCGTAAGACTTATTAATTACCGGGCCCCGGCCATTCCAAAAATATATTACAACTATGCAGTTGAAATATCAAATGTATCGTTTGACGAAATACAAAAGCAATACTCAATATCGCGATTCGATGCCCATATGGCAAGGCTTCATTTGTGTAGCTGGTATAATATATATATAAACCACCACGTCCACAAACATTTTAGCAAAACGATGCGGTCGCTAAAAGTTCAGTTTTTACACCACCATTTACATCTTGCTAATTAGCCAATGCTAGGGAGGTAAACAAGTGTGTCGAGGCTCTGAAAAAAATTATATTGCTATGACAATATTCATTCTTCAAACCCCCATTGTTTGATGCCTCGTGTCATCATCCAATTCAATTTGTTTATCACACCAGTAAAAATGAATTTCCACTTGAGGATTTATCAACAAAACAATCGCGGCGCGGGTCTATGAAATATCATTGTGCACCATCCCTAATCTCATCACAGACTTTCTGGTCATCTTGGGATTAGATTAAACGGTAAAACGTTTCCAAAAACAGTGCCAAGAAAACGATTTCTGTTGTTATGGGTGTACTCAGGAATATTGGCAAATAATTTACACGGCTATATCAACTTACCTTTATCTTTAATTAAATGCAATTATATTTGGCTTAACTTCGACCGTTAAAATCATGTAGAGGTTTCATGTCAAGCAATGGTTTGAAGTGATGAGGATCAGAATTAATAGAGTTATGTGATACTAGATGGCCCAGTAGTGAAAGTTCAGTAGCAAAATAAATTTATTTATCCTAGTTCAAAGTTAATTCACAATCTTTGGCTGCGGAAATATATGCTTGCAGTCTTTGGTAATATTTGTAAAATTTTGTGCTGACAAATAAATGATGATTGATTGATCGTCATGTTATTCCGGCTCCTAACATAAATAGTGAGATTGTCCAACTAAGCCAAAGTTCCCTATACTATGTATTTGGGAATGATTTTTATACCTTCCTCAAAAAGACAACTTTATCTCGCTTTTAATGAATCACCGATCATCTGAACAGTAATTTCTAGAAGGAGCCGTGATATGTTTGCAGTTGAATGAACTAATAAATCTAAATAGTTTGGGATAATATACTGCTTTCGCAATCTTAGTTAGGGATCCTTTAAAAACCCATTATCGTGGAAAAGTAATCATATGTAGTATACAGTATTCAAATATATGTTTTGTAAACCAATGACATAATTTTCACCTAAGCAGATTACCGATTCTACTTTTCTAGTACCGGTAATAACTTCCAAGTCCTGAGTGACGAGACAGACTATATTTTTCCGAGTTTTTGATGCTCACTATTTACATGAAGTCGAAATAGTTTCACACTTATGAAATTTAAAAACCGCTTCAATGAAAATCGACCGCAGTTTGGAAACGGCCTTTGATGACGTAGTACTGAGGACTCGTTCCAGAACTCGTATTCATCGCACATTCGAGATTAGGGTGTTCAACCTATGTTTTTCGTATTTAATTCCAGTTCCTCATCGCGTAGTTTCATAAAGATTGAAACAATAATGTAATGTTAAACAGAAATGCCAATGCATAAGGAGCTCTGACTGTAAGGCAATCGAGCAATGACGTTTTATGTAATGCACGTACCGGTCAAGACAGCCCGGCAATAGGCATTGATTTCAAAGTCAGTTTTTACAACTTTATTTTGTTTCTCGGCTGTTTGATATAATATTCAGTCAAAGTATGATGCTATCAAGTCACACTGTTATATATATAAACCAATCTTGGACTGGCATACATGTTTTCATCAGCCATAGAATCAGGTCCCGTTAAATATTTGAATACTGGAGTGAAAAGGATGATTAGTTGCTAATATAGCATTTTATATTTTTATTCATTTCACATTATAATGCAACAAGACAGTATTATTAGAGATTCCTGTGGAAACTTTCTATTGGCATGAATGAACTTGTATCGCTTGGTGAAATTATATAGAGCGTAAAATGATAAGGTATTGTTGTTTTGGGCTGTGGAGCAGGAGTTTGCATGGACTTCAAACATTATTTCTAGGCTGAAACGGTCGCTTCAAATTAGAGATCTCTTTTGAATTCCATGGAGTCAATCAATCAATCAATCGTTTATTTTGTCATCACAAAAAAACACGTTCAAACATGAAGTGACATAATGAATAAATTACAGTACGGATCATGTTTTTGTTTGACCGGAGTCGCGAGGGACCTAAGAAGGTCTTCAAGCAGCGACACCTACAGCGCTACAGGTTAGAATAAATATAATTGAATGAGGGATAAAATGAATAAATCCTGGGAATAAGTCACAACTGATACAATTACAGCGACATTCGAAGTGTATGCGATTATGACACAGTAAAACAGAAAATGTAACTTTCACGGAATAATTACTAACAACTAATAAAAACGCGAGGAAAGCAAGATAAAAGCACAGAAAAATTATAGGAAGGGCAAGTTTGGCGGAATATGCAACTAAAAGCAATATAAGGCAAACAGTAAATCGAAAATATTTACAGCAAATGCAATTTAGGAGACACTTACGAAAAATTGATAAGGTCTAATGAGGAATACAAACAAACTATTACATCTATATAATGTACATAATAAAGAGGAAAAGATAAAACGGCCTGGTCATTGAAAATAATAGCGAACGTAGGTTAAGGGCAATAAGCTATCGCTCTCCACTCTGAACGATTTTTGAATCAACTATTAATGTAGCAGATACTCTCGGATTCCGACTCCTTGCACCTATTTTCGTTCGGGTTGATTGACGTTAGCCAGTGTAGGCCAGATCGTTACGGTAATAAAAAGTAAGCGATCTTAGTAGAAATTTCAATGGTTACCCGTACTGGTATAAGAGGAGAGATAATCACCGATATATTTATTTTTTAGGTCTCTTTTAAAAGTGCAATATGCTAGGGATCTAATGGTATTAGGTAAAGCGTTCCACAGTTTCACACCTATATATTTAATGGATTTCTGTGTTCTGCTCGAGGAGTACCTTGGGACATGGAATGAACCTGATGAAGCCGATCTGGTAGAGTAGGAATGGATATTACTCTGCTTCGTAAAAAATCGATGAATGCCATGGAAGTTTGTCATCAAAGTACTGGTGCATGAGTTTCAATACCTCAAATTCATGAATATGATCAAGTTTAATTATTCCACATCTGTGGTATAAAGGATCTAGTCTAGACCGAAATGGTGCGTTACATATGGATCGAACTGCTTTGTTTTGTAAAACCTCCAATCTTCGAAGGAGAGTAGTCGATGCGTTACCCCATGATATGATACCATACTGTAGATATGACTGGAAAAGAGAAAAATAGACCATTCGAAGGACTGGCATGGTAAGAAATTTTCTAAGTTTGTATAACATACCAGTTGCACTTGCCAGCTTTCCAGCAACATAGTTAATATGGGTGGCCCATTTCATTTGATCATCAATGTGGATGCCAAGGTATTTAAATGAGTTCACATTTTCGAGTAGAGATCCATTAATGCTAATCTCAAGTCGAATTTTATTTTTACGATTATTTTTGTGGCTAATCAATAAGCATTTAGATTTTTCGACATTAATCATGAGTTTATTGTTAGTCATCCAAGTTGAAATTTTATCCATTTCAGAGTTCATACCCAATTCCAAATCACTTGGAGAAGCTGAACTTCCAAACAATCCGGTATCATCAGCAAAGAGTTTGACAAGCAAGTTAGTGGCGTGCGGAAGATCATTGACGAAAAGGAGGAACATTAATGGGCCAATTATCGAACCCTGTGGAATTCCACATTGTACAGTTGCAAGCTCGGAGCAACTTTGATCGATTTTTACACACTGCTGGCGATAAACTCAGATAGCTCTGGAAAAATTTTGACGCGTGGCCGCGAAAAACCATAATGGTTCATTTTTCTAATTAGTATGCTATGGTCAACGGTATCGAATGCCTTTTTGAGGTCAAGAAAAATAGCACTGATAAATTCCCTACTCTCTAACTTATCATAGAAATAAGAAATCATATCGAGAATTGCAATGATTAGTGGAGTGTTGTTTTTGGAACCCAAACTGGGATTTGTTTATAATGCCATGTCTTTCTATGAATTCGGTTAGTCTAGCATGTAAAAGCCTTTCAAATACTAAAGTCAATGGGGATAGAACTGATATTGGACGATAATTTGATGTGCATTCTTATCCCCAGATTTATATACCGGTGAAACTTTGGCAGTTTTCAAACTATGAGGGAAAATTCCAAAGTCTATAGAGGCATTAAATAATTTACATAGCAATGGGGAAACTATGTCAACAGCATATTTTAGAAATTTCGCTGGAATATTATCATAACCAACCGATTTACCATCAGGTAAACTTGCTATTGTGTAATATACTTCATTGACGGTTATTGGTCTCAGAAAAAAAGACTCTTTTATTGGATTCTTAAGGTTGCTCAAAAAAGATCCAGTGTGAGGGATTTTTTCAGAAAGCTTAGGGCCTATAGAGATAAAATAATCATTAAAATAGTTGGCAATAAGATCTGGATTGCTTACTTTCTGCCCAGTTTCTGTTTTTATTGCTTTAATTGTAGTTGTTGATGTTGTGTCTTTTTTTATATTGACCAGTCGCCCAATTAGGTTCCACGTTGATTTAACGTCGCCACTGACTTGTTTAAATTTATTAAAGTAATACAATTTCTTTGCTTTAGCTATCAAGACTCTAAGTAAATTGCTGTAAGTTTTGTATAATCTATATTTTGTGTCGCTACTATTTTTAAAATATTTTTTATGCATTTTCTGTTTCGTCTTAATTGATACGCGGATGCCTTTAGTCAACCAAGGTTTAGCTAGAAGTCTATTCTCTCGCCGACTCAGTGGTTTCATTGGTGCATTGGCATCAATGGTTGATTTAAATATCTGAATGAATGAATCGAATAAAATATTTAAATTATCAGATGTAATTTGGCAATTCGATATGGGGTGCAAAGAACATTCTAGGTCAGATCTATAGCTATCAATAGAGAAATGTCTCATATCTCGCCTTAGTAATCTGTTTTTATTTATCTTACTAACGGGAGCAGAGATTGTACATAATTGTGCATAATGATCACTAATATCACTTAGGATGACAAAGCTTGACAAATCATGGTTAATGGAATTTGTAAAAATATTATCTATCAATGTACTGGATGTACGAGTTACTCGTGTTGGTTTAGTAATTAGGGGCAGTGATAAATTGGCAAGTGTATATCAATATACCTCATAGTGGCCAGATCTGTTGAATGACTCAATAAATCAATGTTCCAGTCACCCAGTAGGATAAATAATTTTTTGTCCCTATTCAACTTTTCTAATGCATTGGAAATAGTTTCGGTAAATTTGATGATATCTTTTCTGGGGTGTTTATAGATTACTCCAATTATGAAAGAGATGTTGGAATTTAGTTTTAAGTTGATCCATAAATCTTCACAGTCTGGATGTTCTAGATCGTATTCATGAATCTCACAAAAACCAAGGTCTCGAGTAATATATAGGCCAACTCCCCCAGCAATTGTTTTGGAAGGTTTGTGAATGAATTCATAATTATAAATGGAAATATTTGAGGTGGGAGTCGCACCAAGCCTCGTTTCTGAAATGGCAATGAGATGTGGGGGTATAACTAATTCAGATAATAGATTGACAAGCTCATCATGATTTTTTTGGAGAGATCTAATATTTAGGTGAAAAGCAATAAAACAATTTCTTGGCATGGACCTACTGGTAGAATTCAAATCGGATACTTGTATATTTGCGCATTCACATCTACTTATTTCGCTTAGAATTTGGAATTCTGGTCAAGTGCACTATGAACCTTATGGTTAGATCGAGGGGGAGAGATTCCATTCAAACACGAATAACAAAAATAAGGCTGAGATCGTGGTGCGCGAGGGGATGCGGAGGCGAGAGCACATTCCGAGTGGAATAGTTTGGCACATATTTCACAGTTTGTTTTAGTTTGATCAGATAATAATAGTTTGCTACATAAATGACATGTTATATCAGTATTAGTCAACATAGAATAAGTAGAAAATGGCACTCACATAACAGTTATTTGATTTTTGACAGATCTTCATCACATCTAATATTTAGTGAGTTTTTGACATCGCTGTTCTTTTTCACGAATACCTTTCCATTTGAGGTCCATATAAATTTGTATCCGCAGTTATTTTTTGCAGCTCTAGCTCTGAAGTACAGATCTTTATTCAGAGCCGTTAGATTTTCTGCAATAAATATTTTTGAAGGATGTTTAAACACTGCGCTTGATTTTATTGATCGCAGGGACTTTCTTTTTTCAAAGATCTTCATTTTGTTTTTGCGGTGGACGAATTTTGCAATTATGGCAGGAGTTCTAGTATGTTGGGCTCCTGTTGGCATTCTGTGTGAAACAGAGATATCGGTGGCATGGATGTTAACGCCAATCATCTTAGCTATGTTACAGACTATTTCATCCGTATTCTCATTTTCAGTGATGGGGACTCCATGAAACTCGAGATTCTCTAGACGCCCGCGTCTTTCTTGATCTTCAAGCTTCTCCGAGACATAGTATAGATCGTCTTCCAGATCATATATTCGCTCAAGAAGATTATCGATAGTTCTTTTGTTATCGGATACTTGTTTTCCCAAGATTTTGTTCTTATTTGCGAGGTCATCATACATCTTGGTATGAAATGATTGGCTTTCTTTTATTTCAGCTAATTCTGATCTTATTTCTCGCATGGACTGGCTCAAATCACTGAGTACTTCTTGGATATTTGGTGTTATAGGGGTTAGTATATCAGAGTTATCTGATAAGTCATAGTTTTCCTGGAGGCACTGGCCTACCATGGCAGGAAGTTGCAAGGTGATGCCTTGTATTATATTCCTTGTTATTAGAGGAAGGATTCCACTCACTATCTCGCTATGTTGAGATATGTCAGATGTTGTTGACACGTTGAGCGGAGCTCCTGCTATCCCGGATTGTTGCTGTTCTTCTTTTTTGTTACATTTTGTTGTTATTACCTTTTTGGTCTTGCAAGGTGTTTTTTCTCTGGGTGGTGGTGTTGGTGGATTCATATTGAGTTTAGAGTCATATACAGTATACTATATTTAACTATAACCTGTGAGATCTTGGACAGCAAACAATGGAGACATCAGAACGGGTTAATTTAGCAACTTTGATCCATAGTTTTCTTCTTGTTGCGTGCTCAGGGAATTCAAATGGAGATAAACCATCACTGTGAATTCTGCAGTAACCACCAACACATCGGCTAGTCATTGAAATACCACAACACATACATGCTGATCCATAAAGTATGTATACCGATATTGGTATATTGAATATATTGGTATGTATTTAAAACACTGTCGAATGTAACTCCCAATAGAAATAACATACGGTTCAAAATATAAACAAAGAACGCTATAATAGATGTTTTCTCGAGCACCTTGTTTATTTATGTAATCATAATTAATCAGCAACAATTCAACATTGATGTAGCAAGTGTAATTTTTGCAGCAGCTCAGACACTTCGTTCGTTCAGAGTTCAGATAGGTATGGTTGTAAACATTGACTCGTTTTCGTTTTTTTTCCGTGTTATTCATTCCTCAGTTTTCGGTTGTATCTCCAAAATTAGTTGTAAATCAAGTATTTTAATTTTCATTATGTCTCCCGATGAGCTTCAGCTTAGTTGCAATATTCAAAAATTAGGCCCAGAAAAGCTGCGATAGAATAGGCTAAGGCAGTAATATTTATTCATCACCATGTGAAAATTTAAAAAACATTTAAAAAACAGAAGAAACAAACATTATTCACAGGTGAAGGGAGTAACAGAAAACCTTAAGAGGTTATCTAGCTGTGACAGTTTATGAAGTATTACTGTTATTAATAGACAGCTTTAGCTTGAACTTTTCAGCTTTTTTATTCTTGTAACTATTTTGATACATTTTATTTTTAACTCTAATTGATTTCAGCAAGCCATCTGTAATCCAAAGGTTTATCCACATTTGGACCTCTTTTTTGGACAAGGTTTGTAATGGCACATGTTTATCAATAACCTCTTTGATTGTTTCAATAAAAATATGGAAATTGGAGTTAGTATCTCCATCTGTGTTTAGGTTGCGATTCAGTATAGCTGTGTGATGGGAAAAGCTAAAATTAGCTATTAGTATCTGTAAGCAGCACGTGGTTGTATATTAAAAAAATACAAATTTTGAGCATGTAAACCAGCTTGTAAGTGTCAATTTTCCAAAAAACACTCGCAAAATAAGCATCCAAAATATTGAAATAGTAATGTGCAAGGAGAAATTTTCTGAGGTGTAGGGTCTCGGAAACATCCATTAGTTCCAACTTCGAAGTCCAAACCCAATGCAAAATTATGCCGAACTTTTTTTGGTTGTGGACTATTTTCTCACCTTTACGGACTCAAGGTGCGTTTATTGCAGGGGTCGGCAAACTTTTGTTGCTCGCTGGCCAAAATTTAGGGTTGCAAGTCATTGGTGGGCCGCACATATTTTTAGAAAGTTGAAAACCGAACGGGTGATACCTTTTATAATAAAAATCAAGCAGTGATACATCTCTCGAATAGAATATAGATTTATTTCCTCATTGAATTGCAAAATCTCATTTGAATATTTTCGGCGCCATTGAAACCTTTGCACCCAGCATCAACTTTTCTGCGTTTTGTTGCCATTTGTCTATTTTTAATTGAATTATAGGCTTATTAAACGGGTAATTGTTAATTTTATACTTGTTAGATTACAATATAATTTAGTCTACACGTGTCTCACAATGAATTCTGTTACGTAAAAAATATAATCGTCAAAGCAGCAGTTTTGTTACTATTATTCAGTGAAGTGTCGCGGGCCGGATCCGGCCTGTGGGCCGTAGTTTTCCGGCCCCTGGTTTATTGCAACTGTACTCTGCGTGAAGAAGCAATGAAACCAAACACAACAGAATTTCAACAAATTTTCGAATGGGAAATTCGCTGCAATTACGCGTTCATTAAAAGAGCCGACTTTTTTTAGTGTATAATAGCCTTTTCTATCGCACAATATTCAATCCATGACAACGACGAGAACTTTAAATGGTTTCTATTTTAATTGTTCATGGTAACTCGCGGTTGCGTCGACTTACGACAAGATGAAAGAATTACTTGCTCAAAATGCCACAGCAATCTGCGAACATACTAATGTGAGAATATATTGCCCGATTACATTTAGTATTGATACATATTTTTTGCAATCTTGCGAATTTGTTACCGCAATTAGAAAAATCCTATTATCTGCAATAAATTTCCAGAAAGTACAACTTGATTTAGTACTTATTAAAAATGTATAGTATATTATTAAATCAAAAATACATATTCATCGCCTTGCTTTATTATTAATTTAATTGCGATCATTTTAATGTGCGGTTGTATTGACGAAATAAAAGCAATGCTACTCAGAAAATATCATGACAATCTGTGGACACAAAAATACGTAATAAATTCCCGAATATATTTTGTTTTGATTTGTATTTTTGTGAATTCGACAAATCTGAGCTGTTCGTACAACATTTACGGCGCTCCAGTACTGTACGTATCAATGTAGAGGCAGTAAAGCAAAGAATCCTAATGAAAAATGACCTGGTACGTATACTACGGTAGAACCCGAATATTTGCAATTTGCAGTGTCTAAAAAAGCGTTTTCAATCGGTCGTGGACCGTTATAAACAAAACATATGGTGTTTCCGTTTTATTTTTAGTATTGCCGCTTTTCAATTTAGAAAATCTGGGTTGTCACCATTGACATCTACCAGAAAAAAAAAATTATTCCTCGTTGTTCGAACTCGCGAGAAACCCTACTTAGCTATCCGTCGACGCGTGTTTTCGTCGGAAACCCACAGGTGAGTTGTGAAATCCAATCGTGGGCTTTGGTTTGATCAGGGGTCTCAAACTCAATTTACCTGGGGGCCGCCGAGACGGAGCCTTAGTGAGTCCGGGCCGCATCCGGTTTTTCACAATAAAAGCATTAAACTTAAAAAGTTAAATCTTTTTCACTGTTTTTCTATACGCAAAACATGTTAAAAACATAAATGTAAGTAATTCCGCGATGAACCTTTCCCCGATCATCTACTTCCTTGTTTATTCCAGGAGCTAATCAGCAAGACGCAAAAAGTGACGTAACAATAGACTTTTTCGCAAACGCTCAGACACTTGTCACTCAAAGATTTTCAGGCATGTTTGTAAACATTACATCGTTTTTGCATGCTATTTGTTAGTTTTGGGTTGTGTTTCAGAAATTCAAGTATGAATCAAAGAACTCAATGATCATTCTGATTGCTTGGGCGTCGTAGCTTAATTGCCGTAATCAAAAATTAGTCTAGAAATAGCTGTGATAGACTAGGCTAAACTTCTCTACCGGTACTGTTAAAAACAGGTTGTTGAATGTTTCTAATCAAAATGATGACGTGAAACATATACCCCAGTTTATAGGCTTCAACTCGCGAAGCCACCTCTAAAATAAGCACCAATAATTTGCAATGGTAAAGTATAAGAAAATTTTCTTCGCGGTCAAAGGTCCATCGACTGCCATGCCTACAGGTACGGTACTAGTAGGTTACCGTACCGCATATTCCTTTCGGGGGATAGATATTTTGATTTGCTCTACATAAATGCATCAATCATTCTAACTGAGCTGAGTGACTTACGGGCCGCACTAACAATAAACTTTCATACCAAGGCGGGGGCCACAAACTATCGTCCTGCGGGCCGCGAGTTTGAGACCCCTGGGTTTGATTAAGCGACGCGCAAGTGACCTGTCGCGCCAACTGTTACCAAATTTTCGAATAGTAAATTGCTATTCTAATAGTTGAATATTCGAATATATGTCCAGTCCTACTCGGTAACCAGTAATTATTGACCCGATTAATGTTATGTGAATAAACTTGATTTTCATGTTTTATGTAAATTCTAACGTAAATCGTAACTTGGCTGATAGCTAAGTTTTGCAAAAACGTTTGCGACCCGCAGTGAATTTCTGACTCATTTGAAACTGCGGACTCGGGTTGGGAAACACTGCATTAGACTTTTAACTTTAAATCTTTTTGATTGGTTGAAAATTTTTCCAGTGACTTTAACACGGACTCCGGATTTTTCATCGCTGGGAACACCGTAAATTCCGGCTGTAGAATCGTTTTTCTGCGGACCGCTCAGGCTCAAATACAGAAGTCTGGCTGCATAGTTGCTTGTAACCGACGACCGGTTGTCGAGTGTCAACCTATTGAATGCTCTGAATTTGTTTTTGAGGTGAAATTTTAGGTCTCTGCTGCGTTATGTCGTTGAGCAGTGGGAGAAACCTTTGGGGTATGTATTGAGTCATGGTCTAACTAGCATTTAATTACTGCATTGCCCTACTGACCTGACACTGTAACAAGAGAAAACTGAAGAGTTTTTTTTACTACATCCGTCATACTGCAGTACTGTCATTGCTCTTTCAAATTTCTTTGATTTCTGTTTGTCTCTTGTTTCAGTACCGGTACCTAATTACTAGCACCCCTCACACAGTCACAGTTGTGTTTAACTGTGTAACCTTGTTCTAAATTTATATATTTCATTTCGATGAGTTAGCTATTATAAACTACTGGGCAAGCTTGTATTACTAATTAACAAAATTTGTTTTACCATTTTTGCAAATACTTTTTTGATATGATCAATTATTTCCTTGTTTGAGGCATCTTCCAAACTTAAGTGACATCTCAGCTACAGGATATTACTCATGTTATCAACCATACTATTTTAGGTTTAATCCGGAAATCTGGCATAAGACACAGTGCCGATTATGTGAGACCAAAATTTAAAGGTGGTCCTGCGAAACCCCATGGTGAGATTTTTTAGTATCAATTAAAAGTTTTTTTATGCTTGCACAATGACCAGGTATTGGTTCTTGATGTGGGTCAGTGCATTTGTAACAAGTGCCATTCTAGCCTGTTTGGGTAATCTTGATTTTTTAACAAGTACATCTCTCTGGGATAAATATGTTATTCTCATATAAATTGATTTTTACAAAATGCTGAAATTATTTGTCAATTATTTATCTACTCGTAAAACTGATCTAATCTGCATCATGTCAAGTCCCCTTTGATTTGTTATACATCGAGCTAGTTTGGTTTCGTGTTCAACCTAACTCTAAATGGATTTAAACGAATGGAAAACATTGTTTACCTGTTTTTGAAATGTACAAGTGCCTAGTTCTTAACTCATTTCTACCCGGAAACTTATCGAACATATTTTTTTCCCAGAAATTGGAAAATTCATTCGCCAAAGTTTATATGAACATGGGGAGAGAGTGGTTGGAATTGTAGGATTCTTTATCGTTGGTATGTCCGCTTAATTGCATGCAATTGCTATTGATTCTTTCTATGAAGTGTTTTCTCATAATGAAGGCATTTGTGTTATTGCATCAGTTAACTCCTAAAATATTTGCTCATGAATCCATTTATATATTTTGTTGCTTACTACAAATTGATCAATCATGTTCTATCATTTTGACAGTTCCTTTAGCGTTCATATACCTTCCATTCTCAAAGCACAGACAGGAAAGAAATCAGTATATTTTTGAGAATTACCGCACATCCTATGTCTATCCATGTAAGTATTGCATTTTCTAATAAACAGTGCAATTGATGGCGTATTCAATCACAAATGCATTGCCTTTTTTCCAGATCCGAAAAGAGCAGAGGAATGAATGATATTACATCTTTTATTTATTATTTCAAGTTTGAAAATTCAATAAACATAAAATGAAGATTGATAAGTCTGTAGCATTATTATCACAGTAAAAGTGGGATGCCCGTGCTACACAGATAGAGACTATAATCACCCCCCCAACAATATTAATCAGCATTATGTATAATTCACTGGGCTCATTGACTTGATATTCGTGAACACAACAATGTATGAGGATCGGAGAAACTATACGGAGATAAAAATGCTCTGATATTCGAGTGGGAAATATCATTGCGTGTAGTTATGAATCGTTATCAATAATAAGTCTCTCTGCTCTGAACATTTCACCAATTGTTACCTGTTAAACAGAACACATTATAATTAGAGTCAAATAGTAATTACATGTTTCGTGGTGTTTAAACTGGAGACATGATCATCTCGCACCTTGAGCTGTATTCAAATCTAATATTCTTCAATATACCACAAATTGAAGGCATCATTGGATTGATGATCTCTTGCCAAACAGCAGCGTTGGCATTGGCATAACTGTGGCCCTCTTAACAACAAGTTTATTATCAGCGCACAGATGTATGTAATAATGGCTTTTTCACACCGTTTGTTCTGGTAGTAATTTGTGTGGGCAAGAGGCACATGTTGGTCGTATTTTGGAATTTGAATGCTGTGGGTGCATCTTAATTTGAAATATAAATGACAATTGTTTATCAGCAAAGATTAATGTGGACCGCATGCTAGCGTCAATATGCATATTTGGCCCAGTAGTAAGTACCTAAAGTTTGCCAACCACTGCCTCACAGAGCAATAATATAAATGAGATTTACTTGTCTTTCAATCATTTCCAAATTCTTTTGTGCTATGTGTAAAAAGTCTTGGATTTTGACAGGATCTGGCTCTGATTTGTTTGCCCGGAAAGCATCCTTAGTTCGTGTAATGGCGTAATGCCTTGATAAAAAAAAATACATATATAGCAAACTGGTGTGATAGATGAAAGCACACACACTTCTGTGCCATTCATAATGTAGTAGTTCATAAGTTTTTTTCAGGAATTTACATAAGAAGGGCTTCGACTCAACTCTTCAGAAAAAATTCAAGATTAAATGCTAGAAAATAATGATTAAGAAGCGCTGCTTGCTTTATAATCGCACAATAGCTCTGATGCCTGTTGTCTGCGAGAGAACAGCATATTGTCATTAAGACAGAAGTGGTGTGTTACGCGAATCAGCCATACACTCAGGGCTAAGCAAAGGCTTTCGGCTGGCATATTGTTGTACTAATCAAACTTGCAAATCCACTTGTGTGGTGCAATGGCAAGTGGATTCTAATGTGGTTCACATGGTCAGACATTGTAATACAGCAATCATATGTTTCTGCCCAGATGGCAGAGGCGTTTCTCTATTCAACAGCTTACTATTTTTCAAACTCATTATGACCTAAGTTGATCTTGTGTTTTGTCAAATTTCATACAATTTTATAATGTCAAAAACCAAAGCGCTTTCATTTTAGCATGGCATGATATCTCTTGAACTTCAGTCAGTCAGTGTCAAATAGGAAATGTTATAAATTAAGCCTATTGTTTTTTATTCAAACCTGAAATTATAGTCCGAAAACTTCGAGCTTTCTTTTAGCAATGCTTTATAAAGTTGCAATGCTCTTCCTTTAGACATAATAAACAGTGTGCCGGTGTGACGAAAATCTGAACATTAAACTACTATACAAATTTTCTCTTGGTATGTACTGGTTGCTCTATATGTAACTCAACTGTTAGTTACTCCATCATCAGCGAAAGGGCATATAATAATTGAAAAAAACAAATAAATAAAACTGATTAAATCAAGAGAATGTACAAACAATGTAGATTATAAGGTGTTGCAGAAATGAGTGGTTGCCTACATGTTTACTCATCCAAAACATAGTTATTTTTCAGCAAACAAAAAAGAAAACTTGACAAAAAAATATTACTAGTTGCCCACCATATTCATATTTTTATTGGGATTTCAAAATTGAATATAGTTAGTAACCAGCCATAGTCAAATTGCCATAATTTGAGTGCACGAAGTCGATGAAGTGGTGGAACACTTATTATTTCATAATTTTTTTAAGTAACACCAAATGAAAATTTCAGAAACATTCAATCCAAATTACTAAGAATTATCTCAGTTCCTATCAACGCAATAAGTTTGTGCATAGAAATTAAATAGCAACAGACGAACCCAGACTGATATCTCATCAGCTTAAATTAAAAAAAGACATAACAAGTTCAAATACAGGGCTACACCTACAAACAGTACAAAAACTCGACTGCTAAGCGAAAGGTCTGCATGCCAAAAATAATTGTCTGAAGACTCGCTGTGACTAGCTATGACAGTTTAAAGTGTGTGAGTGCATGTGAATGAGCGCAAGCCGCTGGTTATACTGCTGTAATGTTATAGCACTTGTTACCCTCTCGGGTCTATACATTACAATACAACTAGTCTAGTGTAGACTCGTTTCGTACCTAAAGTAGGTACTTCTAGTTGGCGTAGCATACCGTAACATATACTGCATATGTCAATTCTGCGTCATCAAAAATTACGCCACAGCGACCTAATAGAGCACTTCAGACTCTCCGGGGGTCGGCAACCTGTGTGCCTGATCCGGCCCGCGACGCTTCACTAAATTATAGTAACAAAACATCCGTTTTGAAGAATATATTCTTTAAGACTAAATTATATTATAACCTAACAATTATATAATTTACAATTACTCGTTTATTGAGCATATAATTTAATTATAATTAAGCAAATGGCAACAAAACGCAGAAAAGTTTATGCTAAGTGCAAAGGGTTCAATGGCGCTGAAAATATTCAAATAGAATTTTATGAGATGCAATGAGGAAATAAATCTATATTCTATTCGAGAGATGTATCACTGCTTGATTTTTTATTATAAAAAGTACCATCCGTTCGGTTTTTCAACTTTCTAAAAATATGTGCGGCCCGCCAATGACTTGCAATCTTATCCCTTTCCGTGCGGTGGGCACGTATACGTACCCACGACAAAACTCGCTAGATTGCGGCGGGTACGTTGATGTACTCCACTGTTCTTATTTAGCATCGTGCGCAAACTCGTTGTCTAGTTTTTCCGGGTTTTAAGTTTATTGATAAGAAGTCTTCTTCGAGATTAACATAAGCGACGGTAAATCTCGCTTTCGTTTACCATGGAAATTTTATTTGCGGTGGAATGAGGGAGTGTTTTTGAAATTTATGCAAATTTCGGTGTTTTTTGCTACAGCAATATTATGCTATTGTTTGCCAACCAAGAAGCGGTAAAGGATTTAGCGAATATTTCTATTTTTTATTACGGTTTGAAGTTTCAACACCCCCAAAAAAAATGCCTTTTTTCTATCCGGTTTGTGACTCAGACCACCCCTTTTGAAAAAAAAAATTTTTTTAATTGCCTATTGCAAGCTCTTTAAATAGAGCTTTCCAACGAGCCGTCAGTGGGCAGCAGAGGATCATTACTTTTTCGTTAGTCGATCGATTAGTTGTGAGGGTACAAATGCATAAAGTCGGCGTAGCAAATACGATTATTTGATAAAAAATAAAAATCGCATGGAAAGGGTTAATTTTGGCCCGCGAGCGACAAAGGGTTGCCGACCCCTGCTCTACGCACTGGCACTGCCATCTATCATCCAAAACGCGCAGACGAGCAACCGAAATCGAGCAGATATTTCTCTCGTTTTCTCGTCGCGACGATCGCGATATGAGAGAGATCGCTGACGTTCGTCAAGTCCTTATTGTTGGCGCAGGTGCCATTCCGGGCGATCGTACGGATATTGAGGGCTCATTGAGGTGTATATCAATGGGGAAGCTCTATGAAGTTATTGTGATGTCGTTGTGGCATAATTTTTGGATAGCGTAGTCAGGTGGGGGTTGGGATTAACATGTGAACAAATTGTTATGCTACGCCCACTAGAAGTATGTTAGGTACAAAACTACACGAGACCCCATCTTTGCACCTGGTACTTAGTAGACTATTCTACAGTTCAGTGTGATCTTTGATTCTTAATTTGTATAATTTTATATCATAAAATATGCCAATCACAGCAAATGTTCATAACGAGGAATTCCGGTTGCGAATTACTGGGCTGGACCATTTTCGACCAAATAACTAACTGATCCCATACTCGACATGGATCGGAGGCCGTGGTTCGCCATATGGTTCGTGTTATCGGCTCTTGTTTGGCGCTTGTATCAAAATTAATTTCAATAAGGCAATGATTGCTTTTAAGGCATTATTAACATGGCATTCTAGTTTTGCTACACTGACTACAGGTTAAGGAAAATACAAACAATACCCGCAGACCAAACTTTCACAATTTTTGTACCGATGAAACTGTTGTTTCCCAACCATTGATGGGGCGCCATCAGTACTTATTTTCGAAAGTTTCGCCAAAAACAAGCCAAGACGCTTGATCTTTTTCTTCTCAGATCCCAACAGACCAAAGCCTCTAGTCGTGCCCTTAATAAGAACAATGACTGCGATCTCTGCGGTAATTTCAAAATTATTATCAACTGCCCGCAGAAAGAAATCCAATTGGAGTATTTGGTTGTATTAAGATTAAATTAATTAATTAAATTAATCTCAAGTATGCCTGAATCATCTTGTGTTTGTAAGAAGCAAAAGAATGGTGCACTGTGGATACAGTGTGGTACAAAGAAGTGCAAGACATCGTGGTGGCATGTGGAGTGTGCTGGTTTACAAGGTATCACAAAAGATTGTATCAATAAAATATAGCTGCCCAAGTTGGGTTGTAGAACCATTAGGATTGTTGACACCTGCAAAATCGAGCAAAAATATAAGCGATGCAGTGCAAGATGAAATAAAAAAAAGTCTTCCTGACATCATTAAGACTGTTGTAGGAGAGGGGTCATCGACAACCACCAAAAGTTTTGCCGATTGCTTTAAGGAGCAAAACTCTGGAAGCCCAGTCAATCTTATTAAACAGACTGTAAAAGAAACTTCAGATCTTGCATTGCAAGAAAGTATGAAAAGAATTGACTCGAATATAATGGAACAGAGAAAAAGAAGCCGCAACATTGTGATTTCTGGATTGGCGGAAACTGGGAATGAGGACATAAAGCAAATTGTATACTCACAAATTAAGAGTAAAATTTTTCAATTCCAGTCCTCCAGCATCTTGAGCTGCTACCGTATAGGTAAGAAAGAGACTGACTGAGAGAGTGCAAACAGAAACAAACGGCTCATACTAGTCACTCTCAGAAATGAGGAGGAAGCATTTGATATCCACAAGTTTGGCAAGGGAAGGAAACTAGAGGATGACATTTGGATTAACCAAGATCTAACAAGAACTGAGCGTGAGGTCCAATACCAACAAAGAAAGGAAAGAGAGACAGGAAGAAAAAATCTGAGGAAATTGCAAAAAAGTCTAGTGGAGATGAATGTATGAAAACTAGCTTGGAACAGATCAAGTCTATGAAAATTTACTACACAAATGCAAACTCAATTTCTAACAAATTAAATGAACTAAAGGTTCTGATAAGTGCGTGTAAATATGACATAATATGCATAACTGAAACTCATCTAAATCAGTATTTCCTTGATTCAGAGCTGCACATCAATGGCTATAATTTATTCCGTGAAGACAGGGAAACTCTCAGTGGGAAAGGAGGTGGATCTCTGATCTACGTCCACTCGGGACTTAATGCTGAGAGAGCACAGTTCTTCAAATCACTTGAAAGTGTAACTGTTTACGTATCTCTGGGGTCTGTCAAATTTGTATTGGTTTGTTTGTATCGTGCACCTTCACTAGATGATGAAGGTAATGAAAACATCCTATATGAGCTGGTCAGACTGACTCAAGCATCAGCAGATGAGGATATCCTTATTGTGGGTTATGTAAATCTGCCTGATATTGACTAGAACGTTGGTAGCTCTGTGTTTGAAACAGGTAATCAGAAAATTGTTGCTCAGAATGTATTTATGGAAAACTTGATACAACTGGGGTATTCATGGTTCATCAAAAATGAGGTTACTCGGAGGAGGTTAGTTGGAAATTGCATGCAAGAATCGCAACTTGACCAGGTATTTAGTACAAATTCTGCGTTGGTGCTGGAAGTGAACAAAACTGCAGCACTGGGCAAAAGCGACCATCTATCTCTGGTCATAACTTTGAATATGGGGGTGACAAAGTCTTATTTATGCACTACCAAACAGGATTTATCTAAGTTGTCTCTATTGTTGGTGGACGAATACTCACAGGACATTGATTGGAGTTACAGTTTCTTAAATTTATCTGTAGAAGAAATGTGGGGAGAGTTGTATGAGAAGTTACAAAAAATCATTAACAAAATTCCTTTGAAAAGAGTTACATTAGACAGACATGGAAATGAATTAGTCAAAACACCTTGGGACTCATCAAAGCTTGAAAGAAAGAGGAAGGAAAAATGTAAAGCTTTCAAAATGTTTCATAAACATCCTACCAGAACAAATTATCATGTCATGCTGAAGAAACAGGAGGAAATGGCATCTGCGGTCTACCAAGCGAAGCTTGAGCATGAAAAAAGGATAACAAAAAACATGAAAACGAATTGCAAGCCCTTCTATGGCTATATCAGGTAAAAGTCTAACTTAAAAACTCCTGTCTGTGCAGTGAGGGATAGTAAAGGCATGCTGTCAACATCTGCGGCTAAAACTGCGGATATTCTGGCAAAATTCTTTGAATCTGTCTTTAACTTAGAAAGGTATGGACCTCTTAAAGGAGCAAATTATTAAAACTTAGACAAAATCTTTACTGCAAATGTCAACTCAGACA